TTTCACTTATATATTTGGTCAAAATTACTTTTGCATATATCAAAACTATTATAACCTATATGATGACTAAACTTAAATAGTTTTAGACATGTGATATTTCTGAGATTTTTTATAATACTAAAACTAGAAAAACTGAACTAAAATAGATTTGGTATATGTTATATTCTAATAAATTGCATTAAGTATAGAATTTAGATTTCTGCAAATTTCCTAATACTATAATACTAATTAATATTCATCATAAATTCATTTAATTATTATCAAAATTTATTTATTTCAAAGTATGAAAAATACTAATTTAAATTGAATTGTAACAAAAAAAGTTTTGTACTTATTTTAAAAAAGAAATATATTATACAATAATACTTATCTTTGGTTAATTGCTATATCAGTTTTAGGTTGTATAACACAATTATTATATTTTGTATATTATGTTAATTATTATAGATTATATATGCAGAAATATCAAGATGATAAATATAATAAAAAATTATATTATTTCAGTTTTTTGATATAAAGATATTGAGTAGTATTTAGTAAAATAAAATAAATAATGTAATAAAAGTATATTAAAGCATAAAATAATGTTATAAATTATATAATAATAGAGATTAAGCTTTTGTTTTAAATTAAAATATTAAATTATACAATAAAACAAAACAAAACAATCTTAAACTTATCCAATATTAACACAATAATCTATATAATCACTATATAAAAGAAATGTCTTTTGATAATTTTTTTTTTTTATTTGTCTAAACTTGGATCCTAAACTCTTTTTTTCAAAAAGTTTATGAGTATTCATAAAATATAACTTTTATTTAGAAAAATAATAATGAAGTTAAATTTAATTTTAAATAATTTCAAAACAAATATATTATATATTTCAATATCTAATATCAAAATCACTTAATATAATTTTAATATTTTGCAACATATCTTGTCTCAAGATTATAAGTATATTATTAATTCATTCAATATAATTCAAATATATAATTTTTTGGATATATGTACTAAACTTTTTGAAGCAGAGTTCTATATAAAAATTTTTATAATTGATGATGCCAAAACATGACTTAAAAATTTTTTTGATCTAAATAAAGTAACTATAAAAAAAACTTAAAGATATATTATTAAAAGTATTTGATATATCTTTTCAAAATGTCTTTATTATATTTATGATTATGCAGTTAAGTTAAAACAAGAACAAGAAAAAAACAATATCAATGATGAAATAATGAAAATACTAAAATTGAAAAAAAAATTAAAGTTAATACATATATATAAGATACTAATTGCTTGGTAAAAGTAGTATAAAGGTTCAAAATAAAGATTGCTCTTATCCATATATAATTTTACTTCTATTTCATCATAATTATCCACTTGCATCAAGTTATACTACAAGTTTTTACTCTATATCTAATAATATAAAAAAAATTTTTTTTAGTTTCTTTAATGCTGAATATACCTTTACTAGTATATATAATCTATATATAGAAGAAATTTAACTAAAATATGACAATAACAAAGTAGTACTAGCTGATAGAGCAATTTGTTTATATAAATATAACATCTACAATTTTATTGAAAGTTTTTTAATGAGTCTATTGATATACAGAATGAAAAAAAAATATTTTCTCATTTAGCTAAAGAGATTTCAAGTTTTAATACTTATATGAAAAGAAATACATGAATGCAACTATATATTATACCAATAAACAGTGATCTTGAACAACCTTTTATATTAGTAATTATAATAGACCTTATGAAATAATATTATTTGTTACAACAAGCTGAAGAATTAGTTTATATAAATGTCACAGCTGGTTTCAATTCTCTCAATATTCTCTTAACCATTATTTCAATGAATATACTTATTGGTAGTTTACCTTTTGCCACAATATTAACATCAGATAAAACTATAATTACATTTACAAAAGCTCTGGATATGCTAAAACACATAATATCATTAATTGCATTTGGTAGATATAGATCTTTTATTAGATCTTAAGTTATTATGATTGATAATTTTAGTACAAAAAGAAAAACATTACAATGTACTTAGAGAAAAGCAACCTTATTGTTATATATCTTTCATTTTCTGCAGTTAATATGAAAATGGTTATAGAAAGAAAAACATTATGTTATCCTCATTGAATATATAAAAAAAATTATTTTTGTAAGAAATGAGACTTACTTGAAGCTGCTTATATGGAACTTACAACTAGTCAAATATACTTTAAATATTTACACTTTTAAAGACATTTTAGAACTACTTGGGATCATTACAAAGAATGAGCTATTTCATTTTATCAATAGTTACCAATTTATAATAATAATACAAATAATTTTTTTAAAACTAGAATACAAATAATAAAGGATATTATTTTTGACCAAATTCAAGTATTTAACATAATACAAAATTTTAATTTTATTACTTACACAATGAACTTATATTATACTTATAAGCTATTAGATATAACTTATAATAGACTAGATAATTTCATTACATTATATTTTTATCTCTCAGATTGGCAACTTGGATCAAAAGATGATATCATAGTTATAAGTCTTTATATAATAATGTTTAAACATAAAAGTAAAAAAAATCCAAACATATGATATCTTATAGATATGAAACTTGAAATATGTGAATATAATTTAACTGAAACACTATGTAAATATCAATATTCAATAGCAACTCACTATAATGTATGTGGCTTAAATCAAATTTCTATAATGTCAATAGATAGTCAGTATTACTATGCCTATCTGACATTAGGTAAAAAACATCAAAAACTTATATTTTATATAGATATTCATTAAGCTTAGGCTAAACAAGAACCTACATATACCACATATATAAAAAATATTAATAATTGTATGACTTATAAAACTAAATTTAATGACTCAAATAAAAAAAATATAGAACCTATATCTTTAATATTTTTACAATCTTCAAATAAAAAAAATATAAATAAAAATGAAAGTGATAATCAAAATAGTAATAAAAACAATAGTCATGAAAATGATAGTCAAGTTAGTAATGAAAATAATAATCAAGATAGCAATGATAATAATAATGATACAATTGAGAATAATAATCTTCATCAGTTAATTTTGAATAAATTCCAATGGTTCTGTCATGATTTCAAAAACTTCTTAAAGAAAATAATTTTGTATTAGATAAAAATATATGTAAATTTTAACAAATTTACAAGCAACACTGCTCCATACAAGATACTCAAGTCTGATCATTAATATCTTCTTTTTTTCAAACATGTAACTGAAATACAGGTTGAGTTAATGACAAGAATTATCAACACAGAGGTAAAAGAATCAGGATACAGGTCACTGCAACTGCTAAGCATAAACAAAGGTTAAGTTGTAGGCTTAAAAAGTAAGACAAGAAAGACCAAGAAACTACACATATAATAATATGAAAACAACCAATACTGAAGAGGATTAAACCCACTTTATCATACCATCATGAAAAAAAACAGCAAAAAAAAAGATTATATGATTTACAACAAGCTTTTGTGGAGAGCAGACCTAATGGCACAAAATAAAATATATAAATATGAATTAAGTTACTTATTTGCTTAAGCAATGCTTTAAATATTAAAATATTTAGATCCTTAGCATGTAACTCAGAATAGAAATATATGCATATTATGTTCATAATTCATTTTAAAGTTTTTTTTTTATTAAATAATGAGAAATAGCTAAATTTATGTACATTCGTATAAGCAAGAATATTGAAATAAGCTAAATTTATGTAAATTTGTATAAGAAGAATATTGAAAAATAAGCTAAATTTATGTGCATTCGTATAAGCAATAAGATAATAATAAGAACTTGAACTCAAAATTTTTCTAACATGAAAAAATAAAATTTATCGGAAATTTATTATTTGTGATACGTTGGGATGGTCGGTCAACTAATTAAATCAAACCTATATGTGGACAATGGTTGAATTAATTAGAAACAGTTTTTTTGATTATTTTATGTTACACGAAATGAAAATCACTTTTAATATTAAATTATTATAAAAAAGTAAAAATTTTAAAAATTTAACTCTTCTCGCTAAATTAAGTATTTGACATAAAAAACAACATAAAACGAACTAGAAATATAAGTACTTTAATTTATCGCGGGGGTTTTTGCATTAGTATTTAGAATATACCTTTTTTTTTTTAATAGGTTATAAATATTATTAGATATATAGGAGTCAATTCGTAAATAGCTTGAAATTTATATTCTGTACATATTGTTTTTTAAATTTGGCGCGAGTGTTCAAATTACTAGTTGTAATCTATTGATTAATTTATTTATTTAGTCTATAAATTAATAAATTAACAAGTAGATAGCAAAATCATGCGGGAAAGTTACCTAAAGACATCAAAAATCATAATTTTTTAGTAAATACTTGGAACTTCACGGGTAAAAGATATATTTTGAACAATTGGCGGCGGCACAGTAAACTGGCCACTGTTTACTATATATCGTTTAGTCCTAGTTTACAACAAAATGTTTCGCTACCGCTACTAACAGAAAATGGTACTAATCACACTCAACTAATTTAGCAAGATTCATCATCATAGCGGAATTGATTTGATTTTAGTCAAGCTTAGTAAGCATTGTTATGAACTAAAGTGATTAGAAGATATTGATTGAAACAAATAATAAATAATCAGGATGTTTTTTTTTTATCAGTAAATTTAATTTGTAATTGCGTGCATCTATTCTCAATTAGTTAAATTTACTGAATTTCGAATATTGTAATTAATTTATTGATTATTATTTTAAGTATCAAATTTAAATATTTCGATCAGTAAAGTTGATTATTATAAAGATCACAATAAATAAATTGTCGAGGTGTTTTTGTTCTTTGATCAATAAAGAAAATGATTTTTTTTAATTAAAAAATTTTATTAAGCATTTTCAACAAATCGTCGTGTTTCTTTTAATGATTGTTATAAAAATTATAAATGAATTAAATGAAAAATGGTTGTATGAAAATCATTTTTTATTCATCGCAATCACGATGCCAAAGTTTTCAAAAAGCTTCGCCAAATGATACAACTAAGAGCAATTCAAGAAAAAACAAAAAAAATTAAAAAAATAACAGATTTCCTCGATGATCTCAATAATGAAGATTTCAATTGCGTTCTAGAATTCATATACGATGTTAAAAAACAAAACGCACTAGAAATTCCTACACATTCTGAAAAAACCCTTATTGAGCTTATCCAAAGCTTAAGCGTTGAAGAAAAAAAAAATGCAATCAAGTTGTTAGAAAATATGAGATACCCAAAAGGAAAAAATCGAGGAAAAATCATATCACCGTATTTACAACAGCAATTGGTTGACGTAATTTCCAATTCTCTTTATCGGCCACAATCGAGTTACGCTGCCTTGCAAAAGGAATGTAACCAGCTCAAATCTCATAATAAAAAATTAGTTAAACAAAATCAAAATTTAATTGTCAAAACTAAGTCACTTGGATCAAAAAATCGTCACCTTAAGCAAAAAACGTCTACTCATATAGCTGCAATACGTTCTTTAGTGTCCAAATCTAAAAAGATTTCTCAAGAAAATTTTAAAGAAAAAGTCAAAGACCTCTTTAAATCGAACGACCGCCATTATTCTCCAGACATGGTTTGGCTTACGACAAAATTAGCACAAGTTGGTCAAGTTTCAATCCGTTCAACCGTTGAATGTACAAAATTAATCTACGAGTTTTTGACGGGCGAACCTCCAAGAAGTTGGATTTCAAGAGAGCGTATTACAACTTGGCATAAACAAGTTTCTGAATTAGCCATTTTAAATTTGATTAAAAATATTCATCAAACAAGCGCTTTTGGTATTTCTGCTGATGAATCTACTCGTGGTCAAGATAAGAACCTAGTAATATATTTAATGTATTGGGATAGCGTGCAGAATTACCCAATAGCTAGTATTGTTAGTCTAAAAACCATAAAAAGATATAATGCTGATACAATCGCAGAATCAGTTAATGATATTTGCAAAAAATATCAACTTGACACACAAAAATGTATGATATGGCTTACCGATAATACTGCTTATATGTCCGGAAATACCAACGGGGCTATTGTTAAGTTTAACAAATTAGCTAATACAAGTTCTATTCGAATCGGGTGTGGATTACATATTATAAATATCGTTTTTACCAATTTTGAGAATGAAGCTTTTGGACGTGTATCTGGTGGATTTTCAAGAAAACCCCATCCATTTAATCTTTTATATCTCGCTTGGTACCTTTACGATGGATATGGAAATACAAATAGCAATGCGCCAATGAATATTAAGTCAGAATATATTCAAAATCTCTACAAATCCCTCGTTGGATATTGTTATTCACAATATCAAATACCACTTCAGACTTGTTGGGGATACGAATTACGTACAGCTGAACAATATTTAGAGCGAAGAGAAACACATATTAAATTCGTAGAATGGTTTATTGAAGCATTAGAATCTTATCCAAATACAGTTCAATCTTACTTGAATGATTGGCGTCTCTTTCAGACTTGACTTAAGAATAACAAACTTAATATTCAATTAAAATGTTTAGTTAAATTCGGGCATCATTTTTTTAACCCATTAATGGAATTTCTTGTTGGACGAGATCCTATTCCATGAATATTTAATGGTGAAAGCTTGATTAACTTACCTCCTGGATGACGTGCCCATGAAATGCCAGATAAAGTTTTAGAATGGTTAAATTTTTTATTGGATGCTGCAGACAACTTTGATATATTCTTTTCTGAAGAATTACTTGAGGCACTTGAATTATTAGATAAGACAAAGTTTGGAGAAACATTCGACTTATTAGAAAAAGGAATAAAAAAAGCATTATTCCATTTTAAAAAATGGATGGCTCAATGGCTAAAATTACCTTTATCAACATGTCGTTTAGGAGGAAATTATGCACAGTCTTTTGCTAGATGTTATCGCCATGTTGTTTTAAATATTCCAACAGTCTTTGAGCCATCTGAACGAGAAAAAATATATATGGATCAACTCGAAAATGATTTGATGGAAAATATTTCAAATGACTTTGGACTGAAAACGCTCTATATTTCAGATCCTAGTTTTCGTGAACAATTTAATAATTTTTGTAATGCATCAAATCCTGAACTACCTAATTATCCACTACTTTATGAGTTCGCTACTACAAAAATTTATTATATAATCGTACATCAGCAACAGGTCGAGGGTATGTTCAACAAACTGGATTTGAAAACTCACCCGAACATGTCGCTAGATCTTAAAGAATCCAAGCTATGCCTTTCTGAAACCAAATTTTCAAAAAAAGATATTAAAGATAAAATCGTTAGTATTAGACGAAGTAATAAGAAAGAAAAAAGAGAAGCTAAAGTAGTTGACTTTGGTGTGCAAAATGCATTAATAAAATTCGATCAAATCTTTAGTACTAGTTAGCATTAGATTTTTTTCGCATATTGATTTATTGATTATCAAATACAATAAAATTAGCAAATCATATTGCTTAAAAAATCTGTACTATGTTAGTCGATTTAGGGTCCACATATAGGTTTGATTTAATTAGTTGACCGACCACCCCAGTGATATGTATGTTTATCTGATATATATACGCGCATGCATTATTAGATCAGTGAACATTACATGATCGACATCACATGACTATGAACCGAGCACAAACTACCCCAGTATCGGAGAGTCTACGGACAGTTCTTACGGACAGTTAGGGACAGTGCGATTCACGTGATATTACTAAAACCACTCACCCTAACTGTCCCTAACTAACTATTCACGTGATTTGAACTGTCCCTAAGAACTGTCCGTAGATTGTCCGCCCCAGTATCGCCATAAAAATTCGACTATCACGTGACTATAGATGGCAAATGGACCAATAATGAGCCATGATTTGGTGTAACGTAACACGATCGAGAAAATTCAAAACAAACGTTAAAAGATCGTTATTTTGTCAAAAATTGCACATTTCTCAAAAATTTGAATAAGAAAATACCTTTTGCGCTCTAACAAAAAAAATTCCTTGAGCAATTTTACTATAAACCCGCTAGTAACTAGCATTATTAGAAATGCTAACCCTAACCTAAATGAACTTTAAAGAATTTTTCGATCTTCACGTGATAGTAGAATTTTATGGCGATACTGGGGAAGATCCGAGCACAGATTACAAAGTCGCACGTCACCCCTACCCTTAAATAATGCTTGCTGCGCCATAAACCTGGCACACATTGAAGAATTGCTTATATTACGTATAATGTTTAAATTTATTTTTAAATGCCTGTTTTTGATAAGTAAATAAAATTTCATCCACATATAAATTTTATACATTAGATTAATATCTGTGTTAGATTAAGATATTTTATAATTTCATACCCTTACCCTAAAGTTCCTCATCCCAAACCTAATAACACTAAATTTTGAATTTAGATCTGACACAAATTTATTCTAACATAACATATAATAATTTACCTGAAAGACATTCAAGTAGAGTTAAAAAGTACACCTAAATGCCCGTGTGAACAATTTTTTTGGTTATTTTATAACTACTCATTTTTATGATTTTTGGTTTAAAAAAAAAACCGATAACCATTTATATTTAAAAAACGAATCAAATGCTTGATTAGGTGTATCTATAATATAATCATTCATACTTTAGTGGTTCCTAACATTAATAAAGTTCTTTCTATCTTATAATATGTAAGTCGAAGAGGTTGATTTGATTCCATCAAATATACTAGTGTTATTTATAGGGATATATTGTCGAGTAACAAGTTTAATTACTTCTTGGGACACTAAACCGCCAAGTAAAGAAGCCATATTCGGTAATTCTGATCCTCCAGCGCGGCATCTAAAAAATGGTTATAAATATTAAATATAATTCATGAAAAAAACGATTAATAAGACAATAATTATATAGTACATTTCATGAATATAATCATCCAAATGATCTGGGGGATTTGTGATCTGCCAATCTGATAACAAAATGTTAACATAAGTTTTTAATAACTCGAACTCGGATTTGGCCTCTTCATTAACTTCCTCAGTATCTCCTTCAAAGAAGAAAGTGGCCGCATCTAAAAATAATATGTTAAATATAATCTTTAAATTACAATATTGTTAAAAGAATTCTTCAAAAATTGAAATTTTAATGTTATACCAGGATAACGGTTATGAGCTTCATAGAATTTATCTATTGCTCGAATAAGAATATAATGAACGATATTATCTTGTGGATCTTGTAACCATCTATCTACGATTAATTTATCATTCAGATTATTAAAATCGTTACGCAAAATGTTTTTAACTTGTTTGTATATAAATATATATTTTGTTTGTTTCATTTAAATGTTATATTTACCAATATCTGATTTTTTTGGATCACTTATATATTCTTCTTTCAATGACCTATAACGAATTACCTGAATGAAAGCTGCATGCTTGCAAAAACTAACAATTTCGTCATCATTGATGAAATCACTTGTTCTTCCGATAGAACTCAAAATCTTATCAACATTCGAACGAACTGTAGCAATATCTGTTTTAGCTTTCTGACGGTAACTGAAGAGTAATATTATTTTGATTAGATAATAAAATAATATAAGAATATAATTGCAATTAAATGATATGTTAAAATTCATTTGTTGCATACATAGTTTGCAATGTAACATATGTAGAAGTATCAGCTTTCATATCGGGAACAGTTCCAGCCAAAGGTAATAATCCTTGACCTTCATTCATAACGAAATCACGGATAGCACGTGTAATGATCCAAAAGTTAGAAGACTATTAAGAAAATTTATATTATTTACAGATATTGATTAATGAGTTGTTAATATGTTTTAAATAAATATAATTAATTCTTCATGCATACATTTGCAGTTATAGATTCACATGCTGAATCATTAAATATTTCTTGAACTTGGCTTGTCACCTTAGTAGGAGTAAAAACTCTCCATGCATTGGCCAACGCCTCATTGAAGTTTTCTTCATCAATATTCCGCCTACCACTCTCAATAAGTTGTTTGAATTGTTTTTTCTCGGCAGATGTACTTGGCAATTTGCCATCATGCTTTAATTCATGATAATAAAAGTTTTTAATAAAGATTATGGTTTCAAAATACATAGTTGAAATAAAATTTATTAATAGTTACATCTTTTTTCCATTGATCCAGATATTTCAGCAAGATTACTACATAAGGGATATGACCATGATCCATATTATCCATAGAATCAAAATCAAAAGTTTTAGCATACTGTTCTAAAGCTGGAAAAGGTATATCAAGCCGCAAATCAATAATACTCTCCGGATGTGTTTCCACAACTATAAGAGTAATTCAATAATTAATTAATATATGATATAATAAAAAGACAAAAGACATTCATGAATATTATAATCCATTACCGGTATGTTCCGGAAACATAATACGGAAATATCCAACGAATCCAGTAGTACGTACAATAAATAATGGGATCTTTGCATCCCATAAAGCCTCAGATAATTTTAAAAGTGGTTTTTCTGGAACACCAACAGCTATCACAATGGTGAATTGTAAGAAATAGTCTATCCTATTTTCAATAAGAGAAATAGGATCCTAACATAATAAATATTTGTTAATAAGTCACATCTTAAAATAAATGTAATTCTTTTTGTAAAAATTAAATGTATTTTATAACCTCTGCAAGATAATCTCCCCTCACATCTTCATTTAATTCTTGTAAGAGTTCAGTAACAGCCTGAGCTCTGTTTGTACCAATTCTATCCCCATCCAAGAAAAAAGAAATTCCAGCATCAGCGCCATCAACTTCTTTTCCATCAACTACAGTAAAGGATCCGATGCCTATATTTATTGAATAATTTAATGATCAATTTGTCTTTTTTTAGGTAAATCGACAGTTATACATTAAACTATAAGAAAACTCACCGGGTAAGACTAAATCCTTAAGAATCTCACATCCTGTTGCAGTTCCATTAATAAGACACACTCTTGAATTTTCTAGAGCTTCTTGTCCACTTACTTGCCACAAGCTATTTGTAATGATAATTAATCAAAGTTGAATATATTAACTTTAAGTCGATCGTTATGAAGATATTAATAGCATTTAAAATGCATTTACCGAAGTTGACGATCATATTTTTGAGATTTTTTATCAATATTCATTCTGCAAAAAAAATAAAAGATACAATAGGCTTAAATTTCGGTAGAGATGTCCGAGTTTGGCTTTTATTCACGAGTTTGCATGTTGTGATCATCCAATCAAATTAAAAAATGATGGATCTCTAATTTTAACCAATCAGAGTAACTACATATTTTGAAAAAAAAATTAAAATTCTCGAGTGAGGTGCTAGAGAACCCAATTGTTAAAGTATCAAAAAGAAATTTCTAACCTTGCTTAGCGTTAGTAATAGAATATTTTACTAAGTTTTTCCAGCACTGTTTCTAGTGTTAATTTCAAAAAAAATTTACATGTCAAAAAGTATATTAGCGCTAGCAAAACCTTTTTTTTTTTTACTTTTGCGCTTATTACAGTAAACTTTCATATGGAAGCAATAGAACTTATCAGTTATAGAGTGTGCGACTTAAAAAATGCTGATTAATTTCACCAGCATCTCTAGAAGACACATTTATATGACCGAAATTACAATTTTGATGCATCTTAAAAGCCTACAATTAGAGTTGTTAACGGCTTATTCGGAACCAGCTTTGACTCGAGCTGCAGCTTAAATCGTATCTTTGAGTTACGACACTTTAATTTTACATCAAGCATACGTAATCTGCTATATATCAGAGTATCATGTTTCATGTTTCCTGGCTTGAGCCACGGTTTAAATCACGGTTCGAGCTATGGCTCAAACTGTGGCTCCAACAGCCATGGCTCAAACTGGAGCAATGGCTTTTGAGTGCCATACAAAAATGGCTTAAAAATTACTGAACCAAAATTTTATACTTGGATACTTTCATGGGGTGGGTTTAATAATATAGGAAAAATAGAATAAGGCAACTTACCAGAGGCATGACTATAGTGATTATAATGATCCTTACGTGCTCCTTCCCCCGCACATACAACCGTTCTCGATGTTATGTTCTTGAAATAACTTCTTGAAAGTATAATTAAAAGAGTAGATGTTATGTTCTTGAAATAACTTCTTGAAAGTATAATTAAAAGAGTCGATGTTATGTTCTTGAAATAACTTCTTGAAAGTATAATTAAAAGAGTCGATGTT